AAAAAAGAAAGGGGGAGGCCGAATTGGGAAGGACCCCAAGTAGGATTCCTCTTACTTGAGGCGCACCCTTGCTGCTCCCCTCCCCCTCTCACCTATATATGTATGGGGAGGGGGCGCCTACAACACACAACAACAATCGTTAGCCGTATGCGGCGCACCCCTCCACAGTTTACAACCCCGGTTATAATTTTGCGGTGCTTAGGCGAAGCCCTGCGAGAATCACTTCACCATCACCGTCACCACGCCGTCGTGCTGACGGAACTCATCTACTACCTCGACACCTTGCTGGATAAGAAGGTGAGGGATGTCACCGAGCTGAACGTGTGCAGAACTCGGAGGTGTCGTACGTTCGGTGCTTGATCGGTTGGAGCTAGAAGAAGTTCGACTACATCAACCGCGTTGTCAAATGCTTCCGCTTTCGGTCTACGAGGGTACGTGGACACACTCTCCCCGTCGTTGCTATGCATCTTCTAGATAGATTTTGCGTGAGCATAGAAATTTTTTTGAAATTGTATGCTATGTTTCCCAACTTCTGACATGGGTTTTCAAGGGTGGACCGTCCTGGAAGGCTTCACCCAAGACACGGGAATGGATGCAGACACCACCTTCGACTCACTACAGCTCCAATGGATGTGCACTCTGTTTTCAAGCTTCAACAGCGGACGCACACAACAAAGTTTGAGGATGTGGTTCTCAACTTAGTTTGTTTTTACCGCATAGGCATATTTAGGATGCTAGGTTCATTGTGACACATATTCATGATAATTACATGACGGATGTGATCAACAATGGTCAAGGGCCTCCAAATTTTGAAGTGGGTGATCAAAATTCACCGATGTTTGACATTGAAAAATCATCGGGAATGAAGAAGGTGACAAAGAGAGAAAGTGCATACAACACAAAAGAAGATATTTTGTTGTGTCAAGCTTTGCGGAATACTTATAAAAAATTGTACATTACACTAACAAACTATTACGATTTTCAAAAATATGTAGATGATATTTTAAAAAAAATTATACAAATGCAAAATAATTTCACATAACTTTTTTAAAAGTTTTGTTGATTCAAGAAAATGTATCAATGCGTATTTAAAAAATGTTTATCACGTATTTAAAAATATATTCAAACCATGCATTTGAAAAACGTAAAACATGTATAAAAAATTAGTTGTATACTGAAAATGTGCAATGTGTAAGAGAAAAATAGACAGCAAAATAAATATTTGAAAACATATTAATCATGTATTTTAAAAATGCTAAATGTGTATAAAAATATTCCCAGTGTATAAAAAGTTTGTACAATATGTATGAAAAATAAGCACATGTGTTGAAAACCACAGAAGAAAACGGAAGAAAGAAAGACTAAAGAAAACCAGAGAAAACCTATGCAGATAGTGAAAACAATAGGAAAACCATGAAAAAATACTCACGCGATGCATCTACAGTAATTGGCCGACCTAGTAGAGCGCTTTGCCAAAGGCCAGTGAAGACTAGACGGCCCTACAAATGTTTACTATTGTTCTCGAAGATGCGAGAACAACTAACTAAGGGGTACCCTTCCTGTCAAACAACACATAAACTAAGCGACACCCCTTCTCCCGCAAGGGTCACTTTGGTGGACTAAGAGCACGCCAAGTGATGCGTCCAGCCGCCGCCACGTGTTGCGTGTTGGGTGCTTTCTCAATATTTTTTTAGGTGTTTTCGGTTTAGATGTTTTCTTACTTTTTCGATTTTCACTTGATTTTTCTTAGGTATTGGAGAAAAAAGTTTGAAAAAAATTTCACAATTTTTTTTTTGCTTCTGCGAGAAGCACGACTATGACTCTCGAAAAGATTCTTCCATGAGAGGCATAGATTTGATCCTCATGGAGACACAAATTTGCTTCAGCGAGAAGCAAAGTAGTGCCTCCCGGAAAGAAAAAATGTGTCTTTTGGCTTCCACGAGAGGCAAATATTTACTTTCACGAGTCCATGAGAGAGACGAATTTTCTTCTCGTGAAGGTACAAATTTGCTTCCGCGAGAAGCATAACCGTTCCTCTTGAAAAGAAAAAAAATGCGTCTTTTTCCACGAGAGGCACATATTTATTTCTCGTGGAGGCACATATTTTCTTCCGCGAGAAGCATCGTTGTGCCTCTCAAAAAGGAAAAAAAAACATATTTTTCTTTCACGAAAAGCATTGTTGCTCGTGGAGGCACAAATTTGCTTCCACGAAAAGCATAAGTTCTAGGAAATTAAAAAAAACATGCTTCTGGCTCCGACTTTTTCTTCCGGTTTTTTCATGAAAAAGAAGTTCATCGTAACCTTATTAATATGAGATCTAGTTTCGAAGATCTCGGCACGAGAAATCAAACGGTGAAAATGGTTTGGGATTTGAAAACACGGTTCAAAATATTTTTTGAATAAATAAATTTAAGAAAAATAGAAAAACTCTTTGTGAGTGTATGAGAAGGTGGAGTGATCGTTGTAAAGGGTATCCCTTAATTAGCAAAGATGCGCTCAGAGAGACTCTTAAAAAAAAGCCGGTCACGTGGCCCAACAGGCCCAAAGGTCCATCAATATCTCCTCATTCGGCCTAGAGCTGCGAGCGCTTCTCGGCAAAGCGCTTGGACGGACATGGGCGGCGCCGCCGTAGCCTTGCTCGCCGCCACTAGACGACGCTCCATCCCGCTTGTTACCTCCTCGCTCCCTCGTGCTGCGCGCGGTCTCCACGAGGCTGCAGCGGCGGCGGGGGAGGACAAGGCGAGGACGCGCCGGCGGAGGAGCAGTAGCAGCAGCTTTCTTGGACCAGACATCACCGACACCTGGGATCCACCCCCGCGCCCCGCGGCGAGCCCGCTTCCCCCGCGAGCCGCCGGAGGTGAGCGGGACTCATGTTCTTCTTGCTAATCTCTGCGTTATGGTGTTGTATTATTGGCGTACGCTTCTTGGATCAGTGATTTCGGGATTTCATATTGTACAAAGCATTAAATGTAAACACGATTAGAAATTTGGAATATGAAGTTTAAGAACGCTGAGTCCGCTTGCTTTCAGTTGGTGCGATTGTTCAGAACCCATGGCCACCCTGAAGTAGTGCTGCTAATGATTTAGAGGAGGTTTTAAGCTCTATCTATCTCTATCCTCTGAAAGTGGAAGCACTGTCACATCAAAATGTTCGTTTAAACAGAGGGCAAGTGGAGATTGTTTAGAAGCTCTTCTTATACTGTCTAGTATTGATGCCTCGATTTGGTTGGTCTAGCTTGTTGTAAGTACCCGAATAATGGTTTTTCCTTTCTTTCTTAGATTTAGTAGTGGTATTTGGCGTGCTGCAGTATTACTATGTCTGGTTGGTGAAATGGTGTCGGAGAATTTCAAGGTTTGATACCTTTTATGGTTGGGACTAGCTTTCACTTCCATGTAAAGGACATGGATGAATCCTTGTTTAGCATCTGTGCTTCACCTTATCTCATTGTTTAGCATCTTATGCTAATTATTGATTGTTGTGTGTTCATACTTTTCTTGGTCTTGTAGTTGATTATGAGTCCACGGCAACCATTATCGATGGCAAGTCCATTGCAGAGGACATAAGGTTACAGGTTGCTGAGGAGGTTCTTCAAATGAAAAATGCAGTCGGACATGTTCCTGGCCTTGCTGTCGTATTGGTAGGCGATAGAAAGGACTCTCAGTCCTACGTGAGATTTAAAGTAAAGGGTTGTGAGGAAGTCGGAATAAAATCTTTGCTGGCAGAGTTGCCTAGGAACTGCACAGAAGATGAGGTGGTGGATTCGGTGTCAAGATTCAATGAAGACCCATCCGTTCATGGCGTCCTTGTTCAGCTACCACTACCACAAGTAATCTATTCTACTTTTCTGGTTGCCGCCTTATAAAAGGATGATGTTTGGTTTAGTTCATAGATTGATACCATGAAAGCCTTTTTCATCTACACAGATTACAAAATTATTTTGGTAACTGAATAATACAAAGTACTTCTGTTGTCATGGTAATAGATGGGCAACTTCAGTTGTATTTTATCTGAGTTTTCATTTCAATGTATATTTGGCTTTATGTCCAAGCTCTGTTCATCAAGCCTTTTAATTTTATTTGATCATTTTGTGTAAATCAGCATATGGATGAAGAAAAGATTCTCAACGCCATTAGCCTAGACAAGGATGTTGATGGTTTCCACCCCTTAAACGTTGGTAATCTTGCCCTTAGAAGCCGGAAACCTTTGTTTGTTTCCTGTGCTGCAAAGGCTTGCCTTGAATTATTGCTCCAATCTGGTATTGATCTCATGGGAAAGCATGTGACTATTATCGGGAGAAGCAAAGTTGTTGGATTACCCACTTCCTTACTTTTACAGGTAAAGTTCTAAAATGTACTCAGGAATGATTATCCTTCAGTTTTGAACTGCATTATGTTATGATGGCTGTATTTGAACTTCATTTTGTTTCCCCAGAGACATCACGCTACTGTAAGTGCTATCCATGCCTACACAGAAAATCCAGAGGAGATTACTCGTGGATCTGACATTGTGATCTCAGCTGCTGGAGTGGCCAACCTTGTAAGAGGAAGTTGGTTAAAGCAAGGTGCAGTTGTGATTGATGTTGGGACAAATCCAGTGGAGGTAACAACAGATGTTTGTTGTGCTTTTGCTCAAGAAACTTGATCTATAATGTCTGCAGTATCACTTCTATTGCATGTTCATCATATTTATTTAGTAGTGTCCATGTTAATGAAGTAAAGATTTCTTTAGTCAAGTAGTTCTGATTATAATTCCAAACTTGTTTGCTGATACTGGTTTTTCTTGTTAGTAGTTTTTCCTTGGTGCACAGCATGGTAAATTTAAATCCACGCACCCTAATTCACTGATAAATGTTTAAATGGTAGCTCAATTTGTACTATTAAATCGCCACCTATTGTAGTACTTCTACAAATAATGAGCTTGAGTTTTGAAGAAGGTTTCAAAATTGAATACATAACCCTTTCGTTTTCCCTTATAATTACCGAGTTAAGTTACTACTGATGACCGCCTACTTTAATTCAGATGGTAGTATTCCCAGATCTGCTGGTCGCAGCGTAGCATAGCTTAGCATCGTTTTTTCCCCTCTTCCACATTGTAGATTAGTTCGGGTTTCTGTTTCCTTTAGTTTTGGTTTTGTTAGGCTAGGCTTCTTTTGCAGTGTGTTGGTTTTGGCTTTGTAAGCTTTTGCGCCTTCTCAGCTTTCTTGATCCAT